ATTAGTGGGAGAATAACATTATTATTATTATTATTATTATTATTATTATTATTATTATTATTATTATTATTATTATTATTATTATTATTATTATTATTATTATTATTATTATTATTATTATTATTATAGGATTTAAATAATAAAATAAGAAATAAGGGATTAAAGGAAATAGAAATGTTTTTTTGGGAAATAGAGTTAGAACACGATAAACTGCCATAGAAAGGTTTTGGGAGAAAAAGTGAGAAGAAGAACAAGGAGGAAGAGAAGAAGGCTAGGGCTGTCAATCCTTCAAGATTCTTCAACGATTGAGCAATTAATCGAGGTAAGGGGGGAGAATGGATTTCAATATGGGTGAATTAACATGAGAGGGTAGTGAGAGGTCCTTTCTCTCATAGGAATTATGTGTTCTTGAGGATTCTTGATCTAATTTTCGTAGCATGATAAATTCCATAAAATTGTTAATGTTCTTGAATGATTATGGTATGGGGAGTACTGCTTCTCATAGTTTTCTATGTATACCTTTCGGTATGTTGCGATGATGTAAGGTTTAGGGATTTGGGTAAATATGTAGAAATGAATGTGTTATATTAGTACGATGCTCTAAGGTTTCCCTGAGGTTTAGGGATTTGGGTTAATTATGGGAAATAGGGAGGTAACCGTAAGAATCTGAGGTTATGGCCAAATGGTCAAATGATATGTATCGTTGAATATTAATATAGGAAAAACTTATGGGAAATTGGACTTTCGTGGCCAGAACCTTGACATTGTTATATGTCTGACCCTGAAGGGTTAAATATTAGATAGTAAGTAACTTAAATGTCGTAGGGTGTAATTGAAGGAAAAATTGTGATATGTTGTCCTTATAGGAATAAGAATATTCAAATGTGAGTAACTCTGAAGTACTCAGAGTAATTGCAGGAAATAGTGTTTTATGTGTTGCAAATGTTGCCAGATGAGCCTAATAAACCATAGAAGTTGTGTAGTTTTTGCCGTATAACCTTAGGAATGTTTTAGTGATGTTTTGGGTGCTTTGAGTAAGTGATTCGCAAGAATAATTGGGTGAATATCAGTTCCGAAGCGTAACAGCGTCTTTCTGTCCGTCACGAATGTTCATGTTTTCGGTCGAAATTGTTTTGGACGTAACTTTGGATCCGTAAGTCCGTTTTGATCCCCGTTCGAAGCGTTGGAAAGCTAATGAACAGAGCTATAACATAGGATAGATAATGGAATTGTTTTTACAATATTTTTATATCTAATTATGTTTGAGAAGTCAATTATGTATATGTTTTAGTAACGAATCATGTTCTGGTTCAATGATGTCTTGGTGTTTTGATAGATATGGGCCAAGATGGTCGAATGTGGACAATCTTGTGTGATTGTGGTAATTCCCGAGAGGATTACGGTGAGCGGATGGATCTTGTGGATCAAGATTGATCGTGAATTATGCATGATGTATTACATTGCATAATTGTGTTGACATGCATTTCATATCATGTGCCTTGTGGAGATGGTTAGGTGGGAATCCGTGATGGGTGCCTAGTTTCATCCGGACTTCAATGTGGAAGTCGTTGTGGATATAAGTTGTAGTTTAGAGGAACATATATACGACTTATCCGGATTCCGACGGGAATCGGGTTCTAGTGTGAACCGTATGAGATTGTGTTGGTACCACATGCATTGTGTCGAGTCAGTGTGTCACATTGCATTATTATAATTGAATGTGGGCTATGAATGCCAAGTGATTGAGGTGGCACGTGTATGTGCGTTAATTGTGCTTATTTTATGTGTGGTGTGTAACTACTCCTTAACATGTGTATTTCACCGTTTATTTATTGAATGTAGTTCTCACCCCTTTTTGGTGTTGTGTCTGTGCTCTCTTGGGAGTACAGGTGACCAGGTACCTGAGTAGTGCTTGGAGTGTGTTGCTATTTGATCGAGTCTTAGGAGTCGCTCTGATACGTAACATGGGATGACGGGATTACGTTGTTATTTGACTACTTTATTTGTTTATTGTTACATATCTTCATTTATTGGACTTATGTTGTATGACCTCGTGTCGAGGAGAATTATATTGGAGAATTGATTTGTATTTCACTGCTTACTTTAAAACTAAATAATATTGATTATTTTAATGAAATGAAGTGACTTAGTGTGATATCCCACTGTGTTGGAGAACTCTGATGAATTTCATTAATTGTTTCTATATATTTATTATATTACGCGTACGGGGTAAAGTGGGGTGTTACATCTGTTGCATATCTTTATGAGCAGGTGTTGTTTGTGTTTTGAATTTTCCTGGATAATGTGGCGTACCTCTTTTATACCATGTGTTAATTTATACTCTGATGAAAAGTTTTATTAAATGCCTAAATGATTTAATTGTTTATTTGGGGGTATAGAAAGGGGGTGTTACAATATTGCTAGTATGACTAGTGATTATATCTTTGACCACTTGTTGAGAGTTAACACAAATATCAATTTTGTTGAACCCCAATCTATTCGCAAGCTGAAGACCTTCAAAAACTCTCCAAAGCTCTCTTGTATACGCATTACGAACTCCAATATGCTTTATGAATCCCCACGCCACTCTCTCTCGTTTCCTCTAATAATTCCTCTGCATCCTGCATTTCCCCTCTTATCTCTAGTCTCATCTGTGTTCGACGTCACTCTCCTCCTGCTAGGTGCTTCCCACTTAATGAGTGACAATTCCATATGTTGAGTATTGGTGACGACGGTTGAAAGTTTTGCTTAGTCATAATTTTAAATCTGTTTGTAAATTTGGTTCACCATGTTCAATGGTCTAGAGTAATTCCCATCAAGTATCTCTTTATTATGTAAACTCCATAAGTTATAACATATCGTGGCCCAAAAAACCTTCCAATCACTAATGGAAATATTCTTGTTTTGAACCCTTTTTCCACTTTTGTCTGCCACTATCGTCTCCTGAACTATCTCTCCCGATAATGTCGCATGTATTGAATTCATTTATCTGCCACTAATGATTATGAAATTATTACCTATCATTTGGTCATTTAATCCCATATTTACATGGTCTCCCTCATTAATATTCACATTTAATGCATTAAAATGTGAACCAAAACTTTCTCTTCCACCATTGAATTTCGTCAGAACCCCTACCATTCTTTCTTTCACTAGTTTCTCCAGTCACCGGTGGTTTGTTGTTACTTCGCATACCTCCACTTGTTTTCCTTGTTCGCTTATGCTTATGAACCACCGACCAAGGCACTTCCACTCCATTTGTATTCTGATTTAGAGGCGCTTCCCTACCTTTTTAGTTATCACCTTCATACGTGTTATTCACGGCTCTTTGCACTTTCCTCTCTGAACATCCTTCTTTGTAGTGACCGGATATGCCACACATAGTGCAAAACAGGTGGAGACTTTCATACTCTATCTTGTATTTTCTCTCTTTAATTATGAGCAGGGTTAGCAACGACTTGGTTAAGTTCACTTCGACATAAAGTCGCACATACTTCCCTCGTTCATAAGATAACGTGTCTTGTCCATCTTAACCATTTTTCCAATCCTATTCCCTATGAAAGCGATGATCTTTGTGTCATAGTATTAAATATGTAGGCCAACAATCCAAACTAGACTGCAACTTTCTCAATGGTATCACTTCCTGGATGAAAAACATGACTCCATTCTTTTCTTATGAGATGATTGTCTTAAATAAACCACGGACAATTAGCAAGTGTCGCGTTATGATCATCATCGTGTGAAAAGATAACGAGATAGTAATCGTTTCTTAGATCAAAGATGTTGATCACTCCTTTTTTTCACCCACATTTGCTTTTGTCTTGTTTTCAAGGCTTTGTAACTGATTCTTCTTCCAAGAAGCTTTACGATAACCCCTCTCCTCCACGGCCTATGAATTCTTCTCCTCATGTTTGGAGAAAATGAATTTAGAAAAAGCATAGTTCCCTTCAACATGTTCTTCCACCTTCATGTTCTCCAAATCCAGAACATTCATCACCATGTCTTCATTTTCTTCATATTCTGCTTCATCCACTGCCGGAGTACCATTATTCCCCATGACCATAGTTTTATAGGACCATTTCGATGGTCCTCCATCAATGTTTATTTGTTGCTCCTCTTCTCCTTTTATCACTATCTGTTTTCCATTGTTTTTTACTTTTTATTTTTATTTTTATATTCCTTACCTTGAGATCATCTTTGTTTAGTTTATTTGATTCAAAAGCTTACCCTAACGAAGAGCAAATTGCCGCCATTTTTACTAATTATATTCGTAACCTATTTTTACACAAGAGCAATATCACAAAGTTCACTTTTAATATTAATAAAAGTTAGTTGATATACTAATGAGATGAATCAAAATTAATGTCTTATGAAGTTCATCGAAACTATTAAGTCTGATAATTTTATTAGCATATCAAATAAGTTATAATTAATATTAAATTTCATAACCATAATCTATATAGCAATAACTTTCATTCAAACAATACACATCTTTAATACAAGATACAAAGTAAAAAATTATCAAAGATGACATAATATTAAATTTTACAAAGTAATGGTGTTACCCGATCCAACCCAAATATTAATAATATTATTAGTGAATTATACTCAATCAAACGAATTACACATAAAAACAAATATTATTATAAATAAAAAATAATTCATGTGCTAGCTAGCTCACTTATCCTTTGACTGTTAGCTAGAGTTAGTTGGCTATAACCGTTAGTAACTATAGCCTGATAGGATCATGATTAGGGAGGGGGAGCCTGTAACTAATTCTTACCTTGATGATTCTGTGAGAGTACAACAGTAGTGAAATGTTTCAATGATCAATTCTCTTAGACCCAGAGAGTATATAGCATATATAGCCTCCAAAAGTTGAAAACCTTATGTTATTTTAACTTATCTTGATCATAAATCATAATAACTTCAAGCTTAGAATATAATCTGATACGTACATACATACACATCAATTAATAGATGTATATAACACAATAATTCTAGTGAGCTCTAACAAAAAATATACTAAACTCAGGTCCTTGATTACCATTATTAATATTATTATCAGGATTAATCATATAAAAAGCTTCAGAATCCTTAGAACCAATAACTCTTTCAAACCTTGCTCTCATATAAGTCATTTCACCATCAGAACTATCTTTATGATCCGATGCGGTCGGCAACACGCCAGCTCCCATGGACACGCCTCTCAGATGTTGCATAACTTGAAGTTCTTCATCACCCATTTGTTTCCTCCTTATTGAATAACCAACTTTTTTACCATTACAATACACAGCCCAAACAAACTCTTCCAACAGTTTCTTCTTATTTGTCTTTGTCTCGCTCTCCAGCGCGATTCTCACTATATCAGACGACATTTCTTTGTTTAACGCGCTCGTTAGCATTGGTAATTCGATGAGAAAAATTGGCATTTGGCGCGTGTCTTCTTGTATCGCTATGCTGACTCTTCCTTTTCTGTAGCCAAAGATTGTGCCTGTGGTGGCACTGTCTTTTAACATAGGCTTTCTTGGTCTTCCTAATAGCGCTACCATTTTGCAACCTGATGTTAACATAGGGAAGAGTTTGAACATCTTTAAGAGGCCACCGGCGGAGAATTTGTTCCGCTTTTCGCCGGATGTGTGCCGGAGAAGTGATGCAAGAGCTGGATTTTCCATTGGGTAGAAAGGACTGGAATGCACAGATGGCATTATGGTGTATGAGAATATTAATAGTTATGAAGTTGTGAGAATTAAGTTAAGGTAAGTTCTAGGAAAAACAGAGTGATGGATATGTTTGGAGATGAATAAATGGATTATGAAGTTTACAGCTAAGAGGATGGAGCAATACATATAGAGAAAGAGAAGGTGTGGCTAACTAAAGCTAGGGTCTACCAAGATGGGAAAATGGGTTGGTCTTGGTCACATAATCCATAGATTACCCCATGTACTAATGGAATCTTTTTAATGCTAATAAATATATTAATTAACCCTCACATTGTAATTAGGGTGTAATAATCAAATTTGAATTTGCTGATGTCACTACTTTCACTCAATCATACAATCAATATTCTATTAGCAGTTAGATTTTGATCTAATGATCAGAAACAACATAATTCCTGAATTATAATAATCATCTGATTTTAAAATGAGTATATTAAGATAATTTGAACGGATTTATAGATTTATAAGATACTATTTTAACTTAAGCCTTAAAACACCAAATATTTACCAAAATATATTATCTATAGATTTTGAATGATATATATAATAAAAATTATATATAAAAAAATAAATATTAAATGTAAATGATGTGAGAAAGTTTAATAAATATATAATAGGGTTATTGAAATACAAGTGATAAGATAAGGGTGGGGAGGACCACTGGTTGTGGGGTAAATGAAGAAGAAAAAGGTAAAGAAAGAAGGGAGGGGTTGAGGAAAGGGTTTGTGGTAATGTTGGCCTAGCATGTGCCTCTCTGATCATTACATTGATTAAGAGTATCAACGTCAATTGCTTTATACTTTTTTCCAAAACACCATTACTAATTATTGAGATCAACCTCATTCTTCTCCTAACATTTATGCTTGTGTACATGAAACTTTGCTTTTACTTGTAAGTGACTCTCTCTTTCGTGTGCTTTCTTTATTTAGTTCCCACTTTTCTTTAATGTGTCAGACCATAGGTCATATTCATCAAAGGTGAGTTAGGCAGTTGAAATTATCAGCAGGCCCGGGCCCGGCCCGGTTGTACGAAGCCAACTCTTACTTTCCATTGTTTTTTTTTCTCTATTATTTTGAGTTTTTGTTTGTTTGCTAAGATACACTTAACATTGTAAACAAAATCATTATACATTCGTTCCTTCAATTAAACACCAAATATTTCATTTTTACACATTTGAAATTGCAATTCCAATATACTTCAAGATTTGTGTGTGGGAAAGTGAGATATTGTTCTTTTGGATGAGTTTGGTCCTGATAATATGCTAAAGTCATTTATAAAATTACGAGAATATGTTTAAAAACTTATTTATTAATGAAAAATCACATCTCAACAAGTTTTAAATTCAAGTTATTATAAAAAATAATTGTGTTTCAAATTAGGTCAAGATGCAATCTACAAGAAATTGGATCATTTAAGTTTTAAGGAGTAGGACGGACTACGAGAAGAACACACCTTATAAATACATGAGATTAGGGTCATCAGACGATAAATCTTACACGATCCTATAAGATTTGTCCCTTAAGATAGTTGTTTTAAAGAAGGTTCTAAGGCTTCTGAACCCTATATTCATACTATAAAGTCTAAGAAGCAATCCTAACTCAGGTACACACTATTCAAAATTTTGAATCTCACAATTTCAATCCTTAATGACTTGATCGTTAAAGTATTTTTAAGTACACCCTTGACCTATGAGAATAGTAGATAAACATATGTCGTCTCAAATAAGCCACACATATTCTATAAATCTAAAACTTTTATCATTGATTGTGGGGAACAAGCTTAGTGTTTTTACGATGAACCCAGAACAAATTCGAATTGTGGTTTCATTTGTCAGAAATTCATGACCACAATTCACCTTAGAAAGAAAAGTGGTATAGAACATCCATTAACGAGAGGACTACACGATTGTATTATCCTCTTCTTTTGAAGTTGTCGTCCAACCACAAAGAGCCCCACCTCATGGAATACGAATTCTAGAAGTCCTATCCATCAACAAGGAAATCAACAATCATTTTAAGGATCTCATGGTGGCCGACCATAGGAAATTGAAGGCCATTCAGAAAGAAAAACAATAGTCTGGTACAGGGGTCGAGGCAGGAAGACGCCTTTTTTCAACAATACCTTTATGGACTTAATGGAATAACCACAATGTTGTAGAGAAATTCAGAGAAAATGCTTTCTCGACTCAAGAGTTTCAACGGCCACATCCCCAATGTTTCGATTCCTTAAGGCCCAAAATCAACAAAATGGTCAATTTGAAACTAGATCTCTTTTATGGCAAAGACGTCCACCCACCAAACCCCACAAGCACCGTGACCACCATTGAGGGCGGCGTAAGACCTCACTCTCCCCAACTCTTAAAAAAAATAACAAAATTAACATTTTAGGATGATACTCAAACATATCATGCATACTTTCTAATTAATTTCAACACTCGCAATATAATTCAAAATAATTAAAACAAACTTCCAATATCTATTCAAATGAAGAACTCAACAAAATTAACAAAATTCAAACATTAACGCAAAATAAATTAAATGTTTTATTCCCCAATGTTACAGATCAAAGCATTAAACCAACTAAATGGCGAAAAATGATAAAATAAACAAAGAAAAGCTCCCTGGCCATCTTCCAACTCACTACAACACTTACTCCTACTAAGAATCTGTATAACAATGTACATAGAAACACAAAACAAACAAGATAAGGGTGAGAATACGCTCCAATATATTAATGGTATAAAAGAATGCAAGGGTAGCTTAAATCACACAATCAACTACATACAATCAATTTACACAACAACACAACAACTTGATTCACACAACTTTATGTATGTTATACGACTCACAACTCGAATCTATTCATGTGATACCAATTTAGACATCAGAGGTTTCTTACTGATCTCGTCCACTCAACATTGTTCATCATTTAACCGGGTCCCCACTTCTGAACTCTGGATGACCACTGGTCCCTGTAACACCCTATTTCACTAACGTGTATTTATAATTAAATCAAATATTTTTTAGAACATTCACACATAGGATGTTACATGTAACAACCCAATTTTTAATAATTAATTATTTATGTTAATTAATTGATTTATGTGATTTCTTTAATTTAAATGAATGGGTAGATATTTTGAGAGAAGAAAATAGGATGGAGAGGAATAGAATAGAAAGAGATATAAGAGAAAGAGGAGAGAAAAGAAAGGATAGAAATAAAAGAAGGAAAGGAGAGAAAGAAAGAGGAAGAAGAGAAAAGAGAAGGAAAAGAGAGGAAAGCTTGGATAGCTCAAGATCAACATCTAGGATTCGATTTAATCAGGTAAGGGTGTGAAATCTTATTATCTTATCAATGTATATGATTATGTAGGACTTGTTTGGGTGTTTTTCTACATTTCCATTATAGGGAAGAAATGGGTTTAATCGATAGAAATCGATGTTTGAACAGTTAGAAGTTGGATTAAATGGCGTAGTTTAGTCGAGGACTGTTGGGCTAAGTCTACTAAAACTTGTAGGTTTTGAATCGGGCGATTTTATGAGTTTCTGATGATTTTGGAAGTTGAGGGTTTTGAACAACGCAGACGCTCGCTAGCACGTTCGCTAGGCGAGCAGGGTGGCGAGTTATTCGCCAGGCGAGCCAGCAGCGAGCTAGTAGCAAACGGTCCCAGATTTGGGCAGAACCAAATGATTCAATCTCGCTGGTAGCGAGTGAGGTAGCGAAGGGTTCGCTAGGACCTTGCTAAGCGAGTACGTAGCGAGCACTTACAGTAGCTCCCAGACTCCCTTCGCGAGCTTGTTCGCTAGGCGAACCCGTAGCGAGTGTTCACCAAGGACTCGCTAGACGAGTGGTGTAGCGAACGTGACAACATTCTTATTCTTGTTGCGTTTCCATCCAACGTTGATTGTTCAGCTCGAGTATGATCAGTCTTTCTGATTTGCATATTTGTATGCTGTGATGTGTTATGCTGTGGGTAGTCATTTGGCGTGCATCCTAGATTATAGAATCGATTGTGAAATGTGGCCTTTTGATAAATATATGCATTGTTTAAATTGATTAAAAGTTTATGATGATTGTGATTGGAGTTCGTTGTCGTTTGGCGCGATAATGTGAATGCATATCGATTGTATGCGATTGTATGTGAAGAATTCATGAATATTGAATCTATTTGATTCTTGTGTACTACTTGATGAATGTAGTGATGATGTTGAAAGTATGAATACTTTGATTATTATGAAATGTGTTGTGTGTGCAATCATGTTATAATTCTTGTGTGATGAATTATTTGAGTATGCATGAGATTAAGATGCGAGAACGGTCTTAAGTGCATATGAATGTTGATTGCATACGCATCATTTGGTCAAGAGGCAATACTTGCTAGTTTCGTGGAGACTAGTGACTTGTCCCAAATCTAGAGAGGGGTTTGAAAGCTTAGAGGACGGGCTTTTGTTTGTTATTGGTCTAGAGGACAGACCCGGTTTAAATGTAAAAACCGAAAAATAATAAAAAGTGTTGGTACCACATGGCATGAGTTGCATTGAGTTTCATTGAGTCTCATGGCATAGATAATTGTTGTATGAAGTATGCATATGTGTATGGATTGTTCAATTGAGAGTTGTGAATTGATGAATGTTGCGATGAGAATCGTGATACCAAGCTATTGATTAACTTGAATCTTTAATTCTTAGATTACAACCGGACTTTAATTTATCCAAAGGAAAGGTCTAAAGAAAGAAAAACCCTTTTTCGCGATGTAACAACAACGCTAAGAGATTCGGGGATCGGGGGTTGGTTATGCATAGGGTAGGTATTTCACATCCTAAACATCTGTAGTACTCTACAGGAACCTTTTGTTTGATTGCATGCTAAATTTGTAAATGTTTGCTAAGGTTTGGGATTGGGTAAAAGGTGAAGGTTAAAACCTAAAGATAGTTTATAAGTTTGCTCGCAAAGACACCGCGTCCTCTGCCTACGTATCCTTACTAGGA